TTATTATTAATAATAATAATATTATTGTTATTTTAATAATAATAATAATAATAATAATAATAATAATAATAATAATAATAATAATAATAATAATAATAATATTATTATTATTATTATTATTATTATTATTATTATTATTATTATTATTATTATTATTATTTTATTATATTCTTGGGCAGGCACTAAATCCGTAGAGGTCAACAGTGCCCAGAATTCCATACAACAGTGCATCCAAGAGATTAAGGCTTTAGGTCACCTGTTCACCACCAGCCAAGAATTTTTTAATACCTAAAATACTGATTAATGTAAGATGTCAGTGTATGTATACGGAGAGGCATACACCTCACGGTGAATACTTTGAGAGATATTCTCCTTTTCGTGATTGTGAATATTGTGGGAAACACAAACCTCATGATGTGTATTGTGAGAAATATACACCTTTTGGTGTATTTTGTGAAAGATGTATACCACTTGGTGTATGCTGTGAGAGATACACACTTCTCGGTGTATATTGTGAGAGATACACATCTCTGTGTATATTGTGAAAGATACACACCTCTCTGTGTATACTGTGAGAGATACACATCTCTCGGTGTATATGACCTGAAAAATGCACACCTCTGGCAGTGTGTATACAGTGTGTGATAGGTTTATACGGGTGATCAGACATTATTCCTGAGTGTATTATTTCTGAGTGTTATCTAGTTTACGGATGACAATCAGAAATGATCCGATGAAGGAGAGAAGAGGGGAGCTACTCTAAATCCTCGGATCAGGAACCCTTTAGCGACATCAAGCCAACTCCTTAAACTTAAAGGAATCGAGTACCTGCGGTGATTTAGCAAAAGACGGGTTTTATGGTTGTAATTCCCTGTCTTACAGCCTTGTATTACCTCCTTATTGCATGTGTCTCTGATGTATTTTGTAATTCATTAATGTATTATGTGATCTAAGAATGTATGATAAAGTTCTAGAATGTATTACTGTCGTTTGTAGCTTTTCTGAGGGAGAGATAAAATATATACATACGTTGATAAATTAGACACATGTGAAACACTTGGAAATCTTTATTGAGGAAACGTTTCGCCACACAGTGGCTTCATCAGTCCATACAAAGGAGAATGGTGAAGAACAGGAGGAGTCTGAGGCAATCAGTCCCTCAGCCTTGAGTCGATGTGGTCAGTCCATCAATCTTGAAAAGAATACAGTATATGTGAGAAGAAGTGGCTTATATACTGTAGGCAGGAGAGGTGCAGCAGTCGTAGGTGGTGTCACACCTGACCAACGTGGCAGTAGGTCGTGCCCAAGGGTTAGGCAATTGAAGAATTCCCTGTATTAAGATCCCAAGATGTTGCTGTGTCAGACAGGAAAGTAGATGAATGGATCCATTCATCTACATATAAATACTTGCATATAAACATACATACATACAGACAGACAGACAGACAGACAGACAGACACACACACACACACACACACACACACACACACACACACACGGACAACATCTTCCCGTGGGTCCTCAGGGAGGGAGCAGATATACTGTGTGTGCCACTTACCACAATCTTTAACACATCCCTTGAAACTGGGCAACTACCTGAGGTATGGAAGACCTCAAATGTAGTTCCCATTTATAAAAAAGGAGACACAAAAGAAGCACGAAATTACAGACCAGTGTCATTGACGTGTATAGTATGCAAAGCCATGGAGAAGATTATCAGGAGGAGAGTGGTGGAGCACCTGGAACGGAATAAGGTTATAAACGATAACCAGCACGGATTCATGGAAGGCAAATCCTGTGTCACAAACCTTCAGGAGTTCTTTGACAAAGTTACAGAAGTGCGACACGAGAGAGAGGGGTGGGTTGATTGCATTTTCTTGGACTGCAAGAAGGCCTTCGACACACTTCCTCACAAGAGACTAGTGCAGAAACTAGAGGATCAGGAAGGGCACTGCAATGGATCAGATAATACCTGACAGGGAGGCAACAACGAGTCATGGTAAGGGATGAGGTATCACAGTGGGCACCTGTGATGAGCGGGGTCCCACAGGGGTCGGTCCAAGGACTAAAGCTATTTCTGGTATGTGTGAATAACCTGATGGAAGGGATAGACTCAGAGGTGTCCCTGTTCGCAGATGATGTGAAGTTAATGAGGAAAATTAAATCAGGTGAGGATCAGTCAGAACTTCACAGAGACCTGGACAGGCTGAACACGTTGTCCAGCAACTGGCTTCTTGAATTCAACCCTGCCAAATGTAAAGTCATGAAGATCGGAGAAGGGCAGAGAAGACCGCAGACAGAGTATAGACTAGGCGGCCAAGGACTGCAAACCTCACTCAAGGAGAAAGATCCTGGAGTGACCATAACACCGAGCATGTCTCCGGAAGCACACATCAACCAGATAACTGCTGCAACATATGGGCGCCTGGCAAACCTGAGAATAGCGTTCCAATACCTTAGTAAGGAATCGTTCAAGACACTATACACTGTGTACATCAGACCCATACTGGAGTTTGCAGCTTCAGTTTGGAACCCACACCTGGGCAAATACGTCAAGAAATTAGAGAAAGTGCAAAGGTTTGCAACAAGGCTAGTTCCAGAGCTCAGGGGTATGTCCTACGAAGAAAGATTGAGGGAAATCGGACTGACGACATTAGAGGACAGGCGGGTCAAGGGAGACATGATAACGACATACAAAATACTGCGTGGAATAGATAAGGTAGACAGAGACAGGGTGTTACAGAGATGGGACACAGAAACACGGGGTCACAATTGGATGCAGAAAACTCAGACGAGTCAAAGGGATGTTAGGAAGTATTTCTTCAGTCATAGGTGATTCAGTGTCCTGTACCCATAACATCAGTGCATGTACTCGGTACAGTAATTCATATTCACGATTGCTTGGTACAGCACTCCTGCTCCGTTAGCCTATTACATTACTCATACACTCCCATCATACCACTGACATATCTTGCCACACTGTTCCAATTAACAGGTTATTGTGTATAGTAGTGAGGCGGCGGGAAGTGGGAGAGAGAGGGAGGGGAAGGGGAATAGAGAGAGGGAGGGGAAGAGGAGTAGAGAGAGAGGGAGGGGAAGAGAGGAAGAGAGGGAGGAGAATAGCCTCCACCAAGGAGGTCATGCCATTTTTCCTCTCGTCATTCATAAGGTCATAGTTCGCGCCTCTGGTGGTGGCAGAGGAAACTGACTCTGATATATACATATGTCGTTAACATTATATATATATATATATATATATATATATATATATATATATATATATATATATATATATATATATATATATATATATATATATATATACATATATATATATATATATATATATATATATATATATATATATATATATATATATATATATATATATATATATATGTCGTGCCGAATAGGTAAAACTGGTCATTTAGCAAGAACTCATTTAAAATTAAATCCTTTTTATAATTTTCTCTTATACTTTTAAAGATTTTTTTTCATTTATGTTAATGTAAAAATTAATAATTTTGTACCGAAAGAACCTTAGAAAACTTTCTTAACCTTATTATAACTAGTGCAATTTAATTTAATCTAATCCAGTTAAATTTATTTTAGATAAGTTTACAATAATTTAATAATAAACAAACACATGAAATGTATTTTTTTTCGTTAGGTTCAGAATGATTTTTGCGAAATTACTGCATACGTAAATTTTCGCTTGCCTTCTTCGGCAAGAAGAGCGCTGGTATTTGAGCCAAAATTGCACACACACACACACACACACACACACACACACACACACACACACACACACACACACACACACACACACACACACACACACACACACACACACACACACACACACACAGACAGACAACAGGCCTAGTGTCTAATCGACATGTGCCTAGGACATAATGGTAACTAACACACACACACACACACACACACACACACACACACACACACACACACACACACACACACACACACACACACACACACACACACACACACACACAATATAAAATGCGTGAGTCATTCATCACAAGAGCAAGAATTGATGTGTCAACTTCCTGAAGTAATCTTGAAGACTGCTGACAGGAAGACAAACACTAATATTGAAGACGTCATTTGATGGCTCTAAGACTGCAAGAGCAGACGTCATCAAGCTGAGGCCTTCCTTGTTGCAGTGATTTACATAAAACCAACCAACACTGGTATCAGTGAGTGTTGTGAATGTTAGGAGAAGAGAGAGAATTCTACCACAATTTCTCCCATTTCTACAGTCTTTGTTCTTCTTCTTCTTCTTCTTCTTCTTCTTCTTCTTCTTCTTCTTCTTCTTCTTCTTCTTCTTCTTCTTCTTCTTCTTTATCTTCTACTTCTTCTTCTTCTTCTTTATCTTCTACTTCTTCTTCTTCTTTATCTTCTACTCTAGATATGGATGCAGGTGGAAGATTCAGGTGAGAGAGAGAGCCAGGAGATATGGATGCTGGTGGAAGATTCAGGTGAGAGAGAGAGCCAGAAGATATGGATGCTGGTGGAAGATTCAGGTGAGAGAGAGAGCCAGGAGATATGGATGCTGGTGGAAGATTCAGGTGAGAGAGAGAGCCAGGAGATATGGATGCTGGTGGAAGATTCAGGTGAGAGAGAGAGCCAGGAGATATGGATGCAGGTGGAAGATTCAGGTGAGAGAGAGAGCCAGGAGTATGGATGCTGGTGGAAGATTCAGGTGAGAGAGAGAGCCAGGAGATATGGATGCAGGTGGAAGATTCAGGTGAGAGAGAGCCAGGAGATATGGATGCTGGTGGAAGATTCAGGTGAGAGAGAGAGCCAGGAGATACAGATGCTGGTGGAAGATTCAGGTGAGAGAGAGAGAGCCAGGAGATATGGATGCAGGTGGAAGATTCAGGTGAGAGAGAGAGCCAGGAGATATGGATGCTG